AGGATCGACTAGGGGAGCAGGACAACTTCTTCTCTTAAGACATGCAGAGAGAGAGAGAGAGAGAGAGAGGTGGGTTTAGGCTATTGGGTTTAATTAGATACCGGGCTCGAGCCCATAGTCCACACTGGATCGAGCTCATGGGCCAAATTGGGCTCGTTCAGGAGGTGTGATACCATTGAATTGAGATGTCGCATTGAGTTCGCACTATTTCCTGATTCACTTGTGGTGTTAATTACTTCATATATCACAGCGATACTTTTTCCTAAATATATACTGAATTAACTAATAAGATGAATATGGTCTTCTAACGTAGGTTAATTCCACATTGTGGCATGTCTTATATGCAATGGATGATCAATTTCGAAAATCAAAATACCATATATGTTATAATATTATCATGATCGAATGAGACAACTAACTTATTAATACAAACTATTGATCATCTATGGTTTGATTCCAATTCAGCAATCGTTACAATTATAATTTTCACATCCATTGTGATTTAGCTTCCACTAAATGTTGATCATGTCTTGACCTACATCACCTTGTCAATAGATAAATCGAGCATATGATTAGTATTTATTATTCTTATTCAAATTATTATGTTGTTATTCATCATTTCCATTAAAATTTGTTACGTAAGAAATATATGAATTCCTCGGTAGCAATTCTTGTTAGATGATAGCAACCTTTTGTGCTCGGACAATATTGCTAATGGGATATATTGTCGGGTACCATTTTCTTAATGCACTCAGAGGAAACGCTTAGCTTATGGGCCGAACCCAAGTCGTCGTTGCTCGCTACAGCAATGGATTTCCTAACATTCAATATCGTGGACCATAATTATTATTTTTAATTATTTTTATATTTATTATAGAAAGATATTAGTAAAATCTTGATCAGTTTGATATAGTCCAGCCTCGTATGCAGAGAATAATCCAATATGCCTCCAAGATGAAAATATCGAGCTCCCGATGTATCATATGTATAAAGACTGGGGTTGAAAGAAGTTTCCCGGCTTGATTTCTTGGACACCTAAGTTAGTTCATGAGATAAGTGCATATGGTGAAAAATGACTCTTGTGATTACGCTAAAAATAAATTTTTTATATCTAGTCATAAAGGGGTTGAATATTTTATGAAATATTATATGAGAAAATAGCTCTTGACCAACTCTACCAACACCCACTTGCTTTTTCTTAACATGGGCAATAAGAGAGAGACAACATGTAATTACCTGTCTTGGATCTTTGTCCATGTGGGTAGACCAATGGGTGACAATCTTTGTCTCCTTCTTACAGTCTAAACGCCACGCGTCAGATGATAATTAGTTGATGATATTCTCCCTATCATTTATCCCGCCCAAGAGTGCACTTCAAGAATTCTTTTTAAGAGGTTATAAAGTGAAATTGTTAACTTATTCAACATGTGCGCTATGTAAAGGTAGAGGAAGACCCATCAAGATGTCGGTTTCGGGTAATAGAGGATATGGTTGGCCTGCTCGATCTACCGAGACACCAACTTCAGGCAAAGGAACCTAGCTCTCGATCGACTTATTATAGGAAGAGCAACAGTGGCATATATAAGAGATGTGTTTTATTTAGGGAGATCTTATATCTCTAAAATTCTATAGATCTACGAGAGAGGATAAAGGAGGTCAATTGTACTCTTCTTTAGCGATAATCCACACGATATGGACTGCGAAGACGCTCCTCAATTCATTGTTCAAATCTCCTCGTTAGGCATATCATACAATAAAAAATGAGTCAGTCCTTCTTTCTATCCATACGTCTCAAATATAAGCTACAAGTTGAAGAGGAGAGGATGAGAGGAGAATAGGAGGTGATAGCCAAAAGAGGTCTAGCCTTTAGCTCTTTGATTCCCTCCTATTTATAGAGATTCCCCGTCAACTTAACCCTAATGGATCTTACCTTATTGGGTACTAAATCTCCATCCAACTATCTTAAGATCGTATACCAGATTTGGTGCTGATAAAGCTTATATAGTTTTTACTCAAGTCTCACTTTAATCAGATTCTCCCGAAAAACTTTTTTTCTCCTAATCCGAATGACCTTAGTCAGGTATTTGCTTGAGCAAGAACACATTATTTCTCAAATGACACTGAGAGCATATGATCATTTATCGACACTTAATAATTATCATAGAGTTAACTGCCACTCTCGATGATCGGTTGTGTTAGATTTAAAACTTCTAAACTTATAAGTTTGATATCAAAGAGTAGAGTATTCATACAAGATATCCTTGATGTCTTAAATATAAAGACCAAATACACTACTGGGATGATAGAATCACTATCTGACAATAAGGTATCATCAATCATCCAGCATTCTGCAATCAAATTAATCAATAAACTCATTCTTCAATAAGCACTTATAATATATCCCTAGTGTCCCACACAAGCAACTATGAGACCAATCATCTCCATTATATGGATAGGTAACAATACACTGTTAGGATCAAGAGCGGCACTAAAAGGGAGGGGGGGTGTAGGGTGAATTAATGCAGCGAAAAAATCATTTATTTCGAAAAAAATATTTGTTTCGATTAAATTCGTTTCGGAAAGATATTAAACTTGAAAGCGTTCATAAGAGTATAAAGAGAAAGTTAAGGAAGATTGCAGTAATGTAAATTACTCAAATTGAAATATAAATTAGAATTTAGGGTGGTTCAGTCATTGTGATCTACATCCACTTCTGATTCCTCATCCATCGAGGTCACCGACGTCCACTAATTATCTTCCTTCAAAAGCCGAAAACCAACCACTTTTTACAGCTCTTTCTCATTTTACCAAGTTTAGAAGATAACCCTTACAAGCCTCACTCCTATTTCTTGGATATTTACAAAGCTAAGAGAGGGAGGGGAGGACTCTTCTCACTTTTACAACACTTTAACACCCTATAAATTCAAGATTATGTTAACACTTTCGTGCTCTTTTATGCAGAAAAGGGTAGGATATTTATAGGCCCCAATAGCTTCAGAATTGGAGTCAAAAAGTATCACATCCCTAGATTTTGGGGTATTTATGGTACTACCGCCATTATTGGGTGGTACTACCGCCTGTAAACTAACACTGGGCGGTACAATCGCTCAGTCTAGGCGGTACGACCACATGATAGAGCTCGGAGACCGAGCTTTAGTGGTACCACCGCTTGACAGGTGCGATACCATCGCTTGACAAGTGTGATACCACCGCTTGACAGCATTAACTATTGGCAGTACCACCGCCCAAAGCACCTAGGAGACCGAGTCCCATGCGATGCCATCGCCGACCGTGATTTCAGGTGCTAAATAGGCTATTCAATCCGGCCCAATTTAGCCATGTTAAGAGCCTAGTTGGCCCCTAACTGAGTTAGTGAGATTATCTCATAATCCTAACTTAATTTACTATCTAACTATGATAATTAAGATATTTAACAAAGCATTTTATTCCGGTACATCAATTGTTCTTCCGGTGATCTTTCGACAAACTTTTGACGATTTCTCGATAATGTTCCGATGGACTTCCGGCAAGGTCCTGGACTTCACAACGATCTTCTTAGCAAGTTCAAATGAGCTTCTTTGGCAAGCTCCTAGACTTCTCGGTTGGTTCCGGCAGAACTTCCGATGAACGTTCGGACTTCCGACGAACTCTCGAACTCCCAATGAAATCACAATTTTGACTCTGACACAATATTTGCTTTATGTCTTACCGCTATCGTAGTTAATCCTACACACTTTTCTCGACATATAGATTAGATCAAACAATTTATCAATTGATTTCATCATCAAAAATCGAGATTTAACAATCTCCCCCTTTTTTGTGATGATAATCAATTGATTACGGAGTTAACCTTAACTCCCCCTATCTATATGTTATGCTTGAGAAAAAAATATTTTTGAATTCAAACTCGTAAGTTATATTTATTTAAACTTATCAATATACACATCATGATACTTATCATAATTTACTAATTCAAAATATGATACCACGTATTTATCAATAAAAATGATGTCAAGGCATGGCATTCATTTTCAAGTCCAATGATAGACAATCGTTATTTTTAAATATAATATAAATTTTGAATATGAAATTTAGCAAGATGACAATTCTTGATACAAGATGATAATTCATCATTTCACGACATGATATCAATTGTGAATATCAAGTTAAGCTCATAATGCCTTATCATAATAAAAAATATTTATCAAAATGATACGAATTCTAACATGATCCTAGGAATAAAACATTTACAAGTCATCATACCACATTCTAATACATTTCAAGCAAATATTTTGATATTTTTCAAATATGTATTTGACAATATCAATCATATTTAATCATATTTCAAGCATTCACAAGACATTCAAACATTTACGATACAATGCATTTTATGCATTTATCTAAGACATGCCTGCTAGTCATATATGTCCTACAAGTCAATCCGTGAGTGATGACACATGTGACTTGACATGCAGTTTTAAGTTTTGTGGATTTTTGTGCACCAATATTCGTACGACGATGAACATATCTTTGAGAATTGAGGATTTTATTTTCTATTTTTCTGCTATGCATGTGATGTCGCCCCCAATATTTCCTAACAATGCCAATTTATCATCAATTTACCATAATTTTTCCTTTTGTCATCAACAAAAAGAGTATAATTCAACAATACAAGTGTGGTAAAAATTCAAGCAAGTTTCACAACTATTTATCCAAGCTATAAAAAAACTTTGCATGATATCTTTTTGAAAAGCTACCATTTTTACTCATGGGGTTTTTTGTTGTAAGTAAAGAATCCATTAAG